AATTTTAAGATCAACCTTTTTTTGAATTATAGAGCTATTAATCAATTAGAAGAAGAAAGATTTAAAACTTGTAATAGTTAAAAGACACCAAGTAAGGAAAGATAGAAAGAAGTGGACAATGCACCAGGATTTATAACGGTTTGGTCCCCTTGACCTACATCCCACTACCTTGATCTCCCAATCAAGAATTTTCAACCTAACTTCACTATACTAATGGAATTAACAACTTTCACCAAGCTATTATAAAGTCAGTTTCTAACCGAAGCTCTAATCCTCTATCAAGACTTTTATAATGCTTCCCACACTTTAAGTTCCAAAGAAAGGAAGAAAAAGAAGTATAACTAAAAATCTTTACAAATCTGGAAAGATTACAAATAAGCTCAAACATAGTTTCTAGAATAAGAGTGAAAAGCAAGTGTTTTTGGTGAAAGTTCTTTGACTTTTTGCTCAAAATGGCTCTTGGTAGCTTCTCTCTACCTTCTTTGACTGTTAGAGCTTTAATTTATACTTAGGGAGTTAGATTTTACTGTTTATGGCAGATTTTACCTGTTAGTGATGTGAAAAGAAAAAGTTCAAAATATTAAAAGTCACCCACTACCTACAATACAAAGAAAATAAGTTTGGGGCTGTGAAATTGTAAAATTGTGATTTAAAAAAAAGAGAGAAAGAAAATATGTTGAATGAAAGAAAAGTTCAAATGTGGACGAAAAGATATAGTAGTAGGAAAATAAAGCTATATATATAGGTCCAAGAATAATTATGTGCTTAGGGTGATTTGAGCCAAATTATTATCTTGTATCCTACCTTGACCTTAGTCATACATTACAAGCTTATTAAAGTCCTATTGATCCCTAGCTTGGTGTTAGTCTACACTAGTGGAGAGAGAGATGAAAAGTAAACATATGAATTTCTAGCACTAATTTGAAATTTGTGTTGGCATAAACTCATCCGAATACCATGATATTCTTGATTAAAGACTTCACATGCACACAAAAATCCATTCAAGAATGTGCTTGCATTGGAATTCAAACATAAATTTGAATGGGGCCTATATTTTTCCTTAAGTTAATGATTGATAGCCATACTTTTGAGAAAATTATGGAGAATTATTGAGTTGGTGCACTTTATCTCTAGTAGCAGTGCAAGTAGTAGTAACTATATTTATTTTAGATTTCATTAACTGAATTTGATTTTCGTAAGTTAGTTTCTTTTCTATGTTTTGCTTGAGGACTTGCAAAATATTAAGTTGTAGTATAGTTGTAAGTATTCCCGTTTGTCATGCTGGTGACCCAGGTTCGATCCCCAACAACGGTGCCTAAAACTTGTTGTTCAATTTTTTACCCACGTAAGTATACATATCGTAAAGATAATATAGTGAGGAGTAGAGTGTTGATCCCACAACGAATTGAATTAATTCTTACTGCTAACTACTAAAATTAACACATCCTAATTTTATCCAAATAATTAAAATTAACAATAAAATTAATAAACTAATAACTAAAACTAATCTAAAATATATCAAGAAAATTATTTTATTAACTTCTAGTGATTACCAGACCTAAGATTATGATATCCCTTAATACTTCATCTGATTATTGTCTCTCTCTCTTAACTCAATTTAGTGGATTAAGTTGTTAACCTAGAGCCCTAAATTATTTACAAGTCTCTATCGAGTTTCTTATAAAATACCTCTCTCAATTAATTTACTATATGTCTATGCAAATTAAATTGAAGAAAAATTCTTTAAGTTTATGCTCTAATTTAGGCTACGTATGGCTTATAAGTGTATGTCTACTATATATGCAAATCAAATCACCTAGTCGACTAAGTGCATTCGATCATACACTATTCTATTCAAGCTTTACCTAAATCTCCTTCATCAAAGTTTAACTTCAATTTCCAATTCAATCTAATTGTTAGCCAATCAACTAGAAGTATTAAGAATAGAATAAAGTAAACAACTTAAATCCATCAAACAAAAGTCAAAAAGAGATAAATAAATCAGACTACGTATTGAGCTTAATCATGATCTTAGATTAATAATTTAGTTCCCATCAAGTCACACATCATTGTCAAATAAAATTTAAACATAAAAAACAAAACCAAGAAAATAAGAGAATAACAAAAAGATAGAAAAAGCCAAGAATTGTATTCTTGATCTCCAAATCTCTTTGAATCCTTCAAATTCTTCTTAGCTTCAACGACTTTGTGGCTTGACTCTCAACTGTCAATCTGGTGTTTTGTTCTCTACTTTAAAAGTCTTTTGAAAAGTTATTTTTATAAGGCTTTTACGTTAGACCAAGTTGGGTGAAGAAAGAAGTCAATTCCAATTAGTGTTTCCTCATTAGACTACATGGGCCACGGCCTATTACCTCCAAAGCTCGGCTTGGACGATTTAAATAGCAGAAATAGTAATTGTTCTAAGACTCTTGCACTACTTCAACTTCAACAAGATTTTTGACCATTTTCAGGGAGAACTAGATGAATTAGCAAACATAAAAGTTGTAGCCTCTCTTTTGTCTTTCCAATGGTCTAAGAATCATCTCATTTAGAGCACTATAGAGAGAGTTATGGTCAAAATACTGAAACATGTGCAGTAGAAGTCTGCACCTTGAAATTTCTAACTTTCATTCATTAAAATTCTTCTTTCATCAA